ATCCTCATTCCATGCTTGAATATTTACTTCATTCGAAGAGCGCTTTGTGAATATTTCCATGAATTGGATTCCGATAAGTAGACGTTATTATCACCGATCTTCCACAGTGATCATGTCTTCACGGAAGCATCTATGTCACTGTATTAGAAGGAGCTACCCATATACCAATAATTTTTTTCTTTCAAATGTTTTAAGAAAATTGTGAGGGTGAGGGTTTGTCTTAGGCGCAATAAATTATTTCCAGATTCGTTTCTGTTGCTTTGGCTTCCTTCATTCAAGGCGACTACACAGAAACAATTTAAAACCGATTTTGAACATAGCAAAAATGTAAGTTCCTGATGAATAACTGAACTGCGTGAAAAAAGTGTGATGTCACTCGGAAAACTGGATTATTTCGAATTTCTGAATGTAGGTGACGCGGTAAAATGGATGTTGAAGAAGATGAAATGTGCTTACTCTATAGTGAGACAGTGCCTCTAAAAAATGCTTTCACGGCGAAGCGTTGCGCCCGTAGCGGATTGATAAAGCTTGACCCGTCCCTTGGTGTTCTTCCTGCCCCACACCGTCTCCGATAACCGCTCTTCTAGGAGGGGGCGGACCAAAGCCTTTTGATGTCGGCTTTACCGGTTGATTAGTGACTAGACTTATGGTTAGAGTGACTGAACTTATGGTTAGAGAGACTAGACTTAGTGATTGGAATGAAGCATCACACGACGACGGCCATTCTGTTCATCGCACACTCGGAAGCCGCACTTCTCGAATGTTCTGCGGCAGATACCTTGATTGCTGAGTCTTGTAAAAGTAACGTAGCTCTTTAGGATCTCTCCCTTTAAAGGCAAACCCCGGAATTAGCCCAACTAGTATGAGGGATTACACGGGGGAAATTGTAAGGTCCGTACGTAACTGGATCACTCCAGCTTCGTCGCAAACCGTTCCAACGCTTCCCACCCACCGCGAGAGGTGGTGAGATCAGCGTGCATTGATAGAGATCAGCGTGCTCTCTCAAACGACGTGCTCTCTCGCGTATTTTGTCTTCTTTGACCGCCCTGTCTCGCCATCGTACCACATCCGACCTTATTGAAGGTTAAGGCCTTAATTTCAGCGTTCCCAAAGATTTCTCTTGCTTTCCTTTCCACTTTCAGGTCGTTCCGCAGCTAAGCTATCACTACGAAGCGCTGATAGCACCTGTTTAATCCCGGGGTTTGCCTTTAAGGGTCTCAATATGGCCCTCCCCCCACCCTGACCGCCATTATCAGCATGCATTAATGGCTTCTATGGTATTTTATTCTGAGACCAGACAACAGTCCAAGGGAGAGGGGTAAGGTGTATAGTGCGAACGGCCGTCACGCAAGCAGAAATAAATTTCTCAGGTAAATGGAAAAAAAACTGAAGATGTACACCGCTCACCAGACGCTCTTCAAGCTTGTCTAATAGTCATGCTCAACCAATTGCAGCTCATGGTGGCTAAATGCTGCGAAGTGACAAATGCCCTGATATTTATTTGTTTATTTCTTCAACGACTAGATAATAGCGTGGTAGATGGATTCAGTAATGCTCAATCGGAAGGTTTCGGAGTATAATTGAGTTTGATGATGTTTCAGTTCATGGGGCACGGTGTGTTCAATTCTTTAGCGACTTTGTGTCTCAAACTATCTCCATTGGCCCCAGAATTTCGTCACGGTTCTAACCTGGCAGGTGAAATCAAACCATTTTCTCTATATTTTTAGGTATAGTGAACGAATGCTGAATTATTCCAGGATTGGATGATATACCGTGTATCTCATTGCAACCTGCTACCTGTACACTCGTCAGTATGAGAAATGTATCGAATTCTGCTCTTCTGTTAGTATTACTTTTGCGATATACATATAGCTTCCACTTTACACAGAATTCATTCCCTTAGTTGCCTTTCAGTAATTTTTATTTTGCTTTGTAGGAGCTGGCTTTGGGGAAGGAACAGAAACCACAGCTGCTCGCAGCGCTAGTTGCAGCTCATTTCCAGGTGAGGATACTCGCAAAAGTGGTATGCCTAGTGGTGCTGAAACGTAAATGTTGGACTCAGATCTTTTCAAACGGATCTTATACTTCTGCAGGGGACTAGAAAAGACTCATTGCTCTCATGGCGCACATCAGCAAACTTTTCTTCGACCAGGGTGACGCCATTAACGGAAATCTTGCAGCAAAGTTTCGCACTCTTGCAGTATCCTTGGAAGTCCCTCCTTCACTCCCTCCTTCCAACATTTCTTGGTATAACGTCGTCTGCCATCGCCGTCAAGCTTTCAAAGCACTATCTTCCAGGCCTTGAACTACTGCCCTACGTAACTATACCAATCGGTCAATTGAAGGATAACTCGTTAGAAGCAGGCGCTCTAACCCATTTTGAATTTGTCATTGGGATGGGATATAGCGGTCTGATGTGTATCTACCACCGGGACCACCTGCAGGGATTGAATTTTGTTTGCTTTTTTTTGCTCCAGTGATCAAAATCTGCACCCATTCTTGTAGCAGTCCCTGTTTGTTCATAATGCTATGTCAAGGAAATAAATCAAGAAGCTGGTTGAAAGTAAATGCGGGCCTTGCAGGACGAACCTTCCTCGCCAAAAAATTATCAATTAGAGCTGTAAGTGGTCTATTGGGAATATGGCATTCATTTTTGACACCGTCCCTATTTAGTGCCGATTTGGCGCCACAAGTTTCCATCCTTCGGTTTTTGAAAAGGGCATGGCGGATTAATCCAGTTTCTGTATTGTCCTGAATGGAGTGGTCATAATGCCACAGATTCCCGAAATATGTTATGAAAGGTAATACACGCAAGTTTTCTAGCTTGGTAACGCACAAGCAGTTGTTCAATCAGCCCTGGATTTCTTACCCGAGATTGTTAAAAACGGCTGGTGGTCGCTGGATCCGGTTATTGCCGATGGCGGGGCCGCTGTGGAGGTCAGATTTTGTTTATTTCACAGTTCCTCTTTTTTGGAAACCTAAAACCGATATTATGTCTGATTTCCGAAGATGGAGATCATGTTGAAGCCTGGAAGTTCATGGTAGCGTTTTCCAGGCAAATTTCTGGTTCATTCCGTGCTCGGCTGCCGGTCACTGGCTATCCAGTATTATGTTAAGAACCCTTCGACTACTGATTTCTGAAACAGCTGATGATGTGCTAATCTCAACAGTACTGGTCCTGTCACAAGTGGATTTCGCCTCATTTGGATTCGCAGCTTTCAATGAAGCGATGGCTGTAGCGGAAAACAAGGTATCAAAAATTTTCGGGTTTGAATTGTCTAGGAGCTTTATTGCAATGTGAATGGAAGCAGGGGAGTATCAAGAATTTTTCGTCAACCTGCTTCGAGGACTCGACTGCTTTTTTGAACGTTTTAAATATGTAAAATCTTGGATTCAACCTCTAGTGGCATAATTACCATCGAGTCATCCTGATTAGTTTATCGCGCAGTCGATTGGATGGATGAATGTCCCTCCAACCTTTTCACAGTCTGAGTAAATTGTGACAGCCATATCGTGCGATGAGCCGCAGAGCGTCACGTCAGTACTCCTGGTTGTAGTGTTTCCACTGAAGGATGCACACTCGCTATTATAAATTGGTTGATAGCTGAAGCGCGCAATCGCGCTGCTGACGTCGGCCAAATCTTTCGTTGCCTTGATCTTACAATTAGAAGTGCATTTGCTGACTGAGATTCTGAAAGCATTAGTGGATAATGAATGGAAATTCTGGTAGTATGTGCTGCTTATAAAAATGTCCTTAAAGATTTTTGTTAAGGAGTCTTTCAAGAGCATTGGAATATTCGAGTTCCTTTCAAGTGTTCCTGTTTTGGAACGCATATCTTTCATGGCTACGGAAAAGCCTGAATGTTTCCTACCAGAATCGGGAGAAAGGTGAGTTGCATATGAAACTCCCGACTTTTTATTACTTATACTATTTTTGAGACACTACATTGTCCCCATTTGTTGCCCGGCTTTTTTGAGGAAAAGATCCGTCGGCCAGGATATGGATCAAAATTCATTCACTGCTGTGGTGTTGAATGTCTCGTATTTAATTTGTCTGAAAGGTTCGGCGAAAATTACCGAAACTCAGAAAAACTTCCAGTCTAATGAGCAGCTGATCAATTGATACCTGTATGCAAGCAGGTCTACTGCTAAGAACGAAACAATCAATCATTCAACCACAATTCTCTCGGGTGGGCCTTGGGTCGCCGGGGCGACCTCCATTGTGGCACGCAAGTAAGCGCCATCAAGTTCACTACACACCTGGAGCAACTCGTGGAAATTTTGGGGTTTCGAGTGGTTTCCGTAGGATCGGATTTTAGCACTTCGACGGATGCATTCAAGTCGTCGAAGCGAGAAGGTTACTTACTCTCTGAACTCGATTGGGTTCCAAATTTTGACTTACTAATTTTGACTTTTTACGGCCCTAGAGTAGGGGGCTCTTCCAAAATCTACATGTTACACATCTCCTTGGCTTCGCTGATTGCGGCGTTTCGATTACTGCGAAAGCGTTTGAAAGCATTACTCAAACCGCTCTACGTGACAGCGGTGGGGCTTCCCAAAACCGATTTGTGGAGGGAGGTTCCCTTATTCCCCAGTCTGCCAAACTGTGCCTTCCATCACGGTCTTGTTCAATTTGGAATCAAACACTTGTTGCTCCGATGGGCGCTACAACAGTGCAATCGATAAGAAAATCGAAGAGACAGTAACGTTTTCTTTTGGGATACATGGCCGTCATCGTCTCGTGCAGTGCCGGCAGCGGGCGCCGGAGGGGCTTTTTAAGCGCTTTTGGCACCCTGTTTCGCTGACGATAGCGCCCCTTCTGGCGCGTAAGCACCATTGTCAATTTCGACAATCTTCTACCCGTTTTTCTCTGTCATGAACTTCATTCTGTCGCGATTTTCGTCTTTAGGACTTTGAAACCCTTTGAAAGCAATACAGTTGAAAGGAAGTTCGGAAAGTTGCCTGCCCTTAGTAATTTTTAAGCTAACTCGTGTATACGCTTTGCGGATTCCCCGCTCAACACTTTACCTGGTGAAGCAGAATTTCGGGAGAGATGCAAATCGCATGTGAAAATCCGCGCGGTTATCTTCACGGCTTTGGTAGATGCTGAGCGAAGGGTCAGCACTGGTGAAGTCAGCACCGATGAGACTCGCTGCGAGGCGGCAATCAATGGGGAAGAAGGATTTTCATTTT